ACACCGTCTGTTCCGAAGCTGCATGACGGGGGGCTGATCATTCCGCTAATGGAGCTACACCGAGGCAACACCACCGAGGTCACAGCCCAGCCCCGCCCCGCCCCGCCTCTGGCTTTATTTGAGCCGGCCGCCGAGGTAAAGTTATTCCGCCCGGGCCATTTCCATGAGCAGCACATTTTCTATTCCGTGCCGCATTTATTTCTGCGTTTATTTTGCGGCGAATTGCAAATACGGTTACGTACACTGTCGAGCGTGTTATTCTAATGGCCCGGGGGCGCGTCGCGGGGCGCGCCCCAGTGGCGGTAGTTCTAGAGCGATAACACGGCTCCTTGCGGCCTTAGAGCGAGGCGCTCGGCTGAAATCTTTGCTGGACGTGCCACGTTTATGAGAAAACGACTGGAAGAGATTTATACGGGAACTTTAAAAAACTACATAGTTTTGAAGCAATACTATCTGTATAATAAGCTAGCTCGCTATCACAAAATGCAACCTCGAGAAAGAGATCTGGCAGAGAATAGTAAAGGCATGTCGGGTGTAAAAGTAAAAGACAACTTACGGTTGATTTCTTGAAACGCAAAGCGGTAGATGATAACCCAGAAGTTGTAGAGGAAGGCCAGCGAGACAACCATGGACCAGTAGTAGCAGAGCCGGCCCGCAGGGTCGAACACGAAGGACCACGTGGGTCCTGGGTGCGGCCGGCCGGGGCCCCGGGCCGCCGCCGCCGCGCTGCCGCGCCCGCGGATCTGGATGCCGCCGTAGTTGACGTTGGCGTGCGCCACCGACCCCCGCGGCAGCAGCGCCGTCCCCGAGCCCATGGCGCCGCCGCCATGGCCCGCCATGCCCGCCCGCGAGTCCCCCATCGCGGAGCCCGTCATGCTCGTCACGGCGGCGGGCAGCTTGAGCCGCCCCCGCAGCTCCCGCCGCCGCGCCTTCCGGGACAGGTCCAGCTCCGACGCCGTGGCCGCGCGGTTCACGTAGCTCGCCGCCAGCGAGTCGCGGGACGACGAGAAGTATCTCTGCGCAAGGAAACGAGCATCGTCGTTATGGCGGTCGTCATTGTTATCGTCAGAGTGTAAGCACCGTCAGCGTCGTCAAATCGCCGTCACACCGTCACACAGAAAAAATCGTCAGTTTTCGAGAAATCCGAGGAGAAATCTTTGAGATTTTGACGGAAATGAGTTTATATTTATATTCGTTCGGCGAGCACTGGTGTTTCTTTAAATAGAATCATTTCCATTTCATTCAAGGACAAGTGTTTAGTACTTGAAATAAACTACACGCTCTTTCGAGTAGATATTATTTAAAAATAACTTTCGTATTTTATATTCGAATTATCGAAAAACGCTGTTGTTTTTTGTGTGTCAAAGTAAAGGTTCATCGCCGTCACTGTCGCCAACCTTTCGGCCACCGTTGACGCCTACCTGGTGCTGGCGCTGGTTCCGCCCCACGCCCAGCCGACATCCCACCAGGTCGAGCAGGCTCTGCCTGGACACGGACCGCGCCTGCGGGTGCGGACCGCCGTACGGCCCGCCGTACGGTCGGCTTAAGCCGCCGAATCCTCCCAGCCCCGCCAGCCCCGGGACGCTCTCCGCCGAGCTCTTGTGGTGCGCCACGGGGCTGCAGCGGTCGCCCATCCGCACGCCTCCAGTGGTGATGATGCCTGCAACAGAAAAGGGCCGAGACTGTCACTCCTCCAGTCGCAGGCGTGTTTCTTGTGGGTTGCACCAGTTTCTACACCCGGCAATTGTATTCCCAGCTTTGCTCCTGACAAGAAATTGTCGTGGTATGGGTGGCAGCACTGCTGTTGTCTGCATCGTCCATCGTCTACTATACAGCTTCCATAACCCGCCGACTGATGGCGCCACTGTCGCCTACCGAACCTTACTTGTTACCTTGGAACCAATAAAGATCCTCTTGCTACACTGACCACCACTGTGTTCGGACCTTGTCATTTCATCCCTTCGCATCCCAACCTGGACCGCTCAGCCACGACTACCACAGAAATGATATGGATCCATACACTAGAAGTCACAGGCGTGGCAGTAAAAGTGTTCAGACGCTATATAGAAACATTTTGTTCAAAGCAAAAAACGCACTGCTGTCAAATTTTTAGCAGATGATACGTTAGTATTAGCTGCTAGCACGCTGTAGAAAAGTAAAAAAAAAAAATGCCAGTCAAAGCGCAAAATTTACCAGCATGTTTTTTTCTCAGGAATTTTTCCTCTTTACTGTGTAGGCAGGTTTCTGTGTCTGTGTGTGTGGGGGGGGATGAGGTTTCTTGCCGTCCCGGGGTTTCTACTCGAGCTTTATAATTTCCCGGTCGCCGACACAAGGTTCCTTGGATGGTCCCTGATCCCCGCCGCGCGCTCCCTTTCCGCTTGCCCTTTGTGAGCCGCGCGGGCCGCGCGGGGGCGGCTGGATGCGGCACGCCCAGGCGGTGAAAGGCGCCCTCATTGCCACCTCTTCACGGGGAGCCAATCCAATTAATTAGAACGCATGCCAGGTGCAAATTATCCCCGCTTGTGTCCCGGATGTGTCTGCAGGGCCCCCGCCATCGCTATATACCCGCCCCGGACGGCACAGCCCCGGCCCCAGCTTTCGCGCGGCTCAGAAATGTTGGGAAGGGGTGGGAGGCAGTTGGGAGGCAGCGATTGGGTGTTGAAGGGTGGGGGAGGGGGTGGTCCGTGGTACACTGTTTATTTGGGATGCCTATAAGTTGTCACGCTCATGTCGTGTAGACGATGTACGACGCAGTACAGTTTTGGTAGGTGTGCGCCTACACTCACGTGAACGATTTCGGCACACGAACAAATGCATTGGGGTATAGAGTGAAAAGAAAGGGATGTCACGACTTTTGCAGGTCGTGTGCTAAAGAAATTCAGATATAAATGCTTTCATATAGGTTCCGTAAAACACTCAGTCAAAAGCTTGTGAAGAACTATTATTTGCATTGCAAAGAATTTTGAAGCGTTTTAAAATGCTTTGCAACTAAATCCTTGACATTGCGTACTAAGTCCTCGCACCTTACGAAGAAACTTGTTTGTAACGCTGCAAAGAATTAGTTTGTAGCATTGCAAACTATTTCTTCGCAACTTACGAAGAAAATAGTTGTCAATGCCAAGAAAATAGTTTGCAACGCCAAATTCTTAGCAAGAATTTTGCAGTCGTGCTGCACACGTTTGTTTTTGCATTGTTGTGGCGTAACGTGACGGCATACCTTTGACGTAATGATGACAGCTCGCCTTTCCATTTTTTATGGTGGGAGGGAACAAAAAAGCATCAACCATTCCCACTGTGCTAAAGGTCTATGCGTCCATTCATTGTGTTGGAGGTATAGGCATGTTCGGCGCATGCATGCGGTACAGTCTTCTCGAGTACAATACAACCAAAAATAGAAAAACAAGTGCAGGGCTCATAGGAGGCACCCTGTAATTTTTATCACATATAGTTTAAAAAGTCCTACTTATTTCAATTGTTTTCCATAGTGTAGTGGCTAACTGGGGGGGGGGGGGGGGTCGTCCAATGTTCACCAGCACCATACAGATCGGGCGCCCTTTTTAATGGACCCCCCAGGCGGGAAGGGAAAGAGGACCGGACCGATATCAAAATTCAATTTCACTCCGCCCCGTACTGTCTGTCTACATGAATTACCTGCCGGTAATGCAAGCCGCGTGGAAGAGGAGGCGGGTGCGTCCACGTGCGAAGGGGGTGGGGTGGGGAGCGGGCCACGTGTGCAGCCGTAGGGTAACCCCCGAGGGGGTGCGGGGGGAGGGGGGGGGTTGCTCATGTCCCTCGGGGGTCCGCCATCAAGAGTCGGGTTGCAGAGAGAGAGAGAGAGGAAGAGGGGGGGAGGGTGCCAACCCACCACTGCTATGACTAAGTAGGGACAAATCGATAACATAGCCGGACCACCTGTAGTGGAGCGGAAATGAGGCACCATTCCCGTCTAAAACCATCGCTCGCATCCCCCTTGCTCCACACTGTAAGGCTACATCCAAAAGAGCAGGTGTTTCGCGGTTGTTGAATCACTCACGTACACTAGAAATGGAAGGAGAAAATTTTCTTCGTAAAAAAAGGAACGATTTCGCACAGGCCGGAAGCAATTTTGTTTCAAAATTGGGACAAATTGTTTTACTCGTTGCATGGCCCAAAACAAAAGGTTCCAAGTGTGCGTCGACCTCCGCGTCGACCTGAGTATCGTGCCTGCCCCGTCGTCGGGCCTTGTACCCGGGCTTCTGGGAGCGAGTCGAGCATTCCGTTTGGGAACTTGCACAGCGACGAGGGGGCGGGCGGGGCGGCGGCGGCACGGCTCCTCCAAACGCCCGGTAGGTAGGCAGCGCGCAGGCTGCCGTGCCCTCGGGCAGCGGTGTTGCCTAGCTGCCGGCGCTGGCCGCCGCCACGCCGCGGAGCTGCTCGAGCTGCTCGAGCAGGCCTCCTCCCGGACCCCTGCCCTCCGGGCGGGGCGGGGCGGGGCGGGCGG